TCGAACTTCGAACTCCACGTCTCCCGTTCATTGATACCTTCTGTCATTTTGATTTTTTAGAGCAGATTGATTCAGCGAATATATTTCTGCAAGAACCTAAGCATTCACAACACTCATTAAAAGCTATTAAAGCACAATTCTTTTGTTTTTCAAGTTAAGATGTTCGTAGCCTTAATCACATAGGTTAAGTAGTGCAAAAGTAGCTTGAAGCCGCCTAAAATTTCAAAGTTATGACTGACAAATGCTCAAACGTAATAAACTGGTCAGTCACGCAGGCTTGTACATAGTCCTTCAGGCGCAACTGCGCAACTTTAAACATTCCTAACCTTATGACCCCCTAAGAGAGACTAGCATCTAATTTCTCCTTACAATATCACCACTGAATCGAACGTTAAGGCCAGAAAAATAAAGGAATGATCACCAACTAAAGAAGCTCTTGATTGTTGAATAAATTCTCCTTTTCAGCACTTTAAGATAAGTATACAGAAATGTATGGCGAATATGCATATTGAAGGTAGGGTCTCAAGTTCAGTATTTGATAGGTCTTCGTTGGAGACATTATCATCTGATATGCCTGCGTAGAGACTGCATGGGAAATTTCACATTTGACATAATCAGTTAAGAGCTAAAGGAAAGCTACCTACTTAAGGTACACCCTTTTTATGCACTTTTTGCTTGTAACAATTGGCTGAATGGAAAAGGTTTGTTTATTTATTCATTTTATTTTAGTTATTTATTTGCGATTTATAGACAGGCTGGCCCAGTTCAGCTTCAGTTTAAAGCTGGTTTAAATGGGGGCCTGCATAAACAAAACAAGGCCAGACCACAACACCGGAAACCAAGTTCCCAACTCTTTGCGAGAAGAGCGTTAAGTTCTCTAACGCCCCTTGCTAACCAGTGCAGAGATGATGCAGGAGACGGGGCCTACGGTTTCAGATATCGTCTTTATCAGTGAAGACTAGAATGCTTAACCATTTTCGGATGTCATAGCAAAGAAAGAACATTCTCCCCAGTTATTTTAAGGCCCCGGTGTTGGTCCGGCCTAGGGCTTGAGCCCACAACCTTCCGCACGGCAGTCAAGCGCTCTACAACACGACCTTACCACGAAGATCATTTTAGTTGGATGGATAAATTTGGAAACGTAACTTTAATTCTTTTTGGTTGGGCCTTGTAGATGCAGAGAACTTCAATTAGTTGCTTAAAAATTAAAATAAAGAAGGCGAAATCGTTGCGATATTTTGAAAGTTGAGTCGTAAGTTTAGGTGTTTATCTGAATTTTCTAAGTTTCTGTTGAGATGATCGAAAATTGCCAAATTTTCCGTACTTGTTCCTAGTTTTCAAGTAATTTCTCTCGTTCGTAGTTAAGTTGTCTATTAATCAATCACGAAGAGCCGAAAGAGCGAAAATTGGTTTCTGTCATCTGGTCCAATATTTATTTAAAGCGTTTTTAATTTCCTTTGATTGACCCTTGAGCTAAGGAACAGATACACCATTGGCACGCCCCCTTTACGAGACAACATCGATAGCCTTCCCTGAAACAGAGGTGAAGACGTTACCCTTGAAAGAGCAGTAAAGAATATTTCTTTTTCAAAAAGGGAAAACAATTCATTTCTTGCGGTCTGCTTTCTGCTTTGCACCCTGAAGTAAAGGAGTTTGTCGGAGTTGTAAACAAGATAATTTTCGTCACTATTCCTTTAGTGAAGGTGAATAAAATTAAATCATACGCCTGTACACGTTATTTATGCGAAATTTGTTGATTCGAAGTTTGATGCATTGCAGAGAGGAGCGCTGAGAAAACGCTACAAAGTCTCAAAAGCACGTGGTCTACTAGTAACTGTTTAATCGTTGCCAAGATCTAGTTTCTGTTAGCCTCATGATTTCCATTTAAAGTCACGTGAAGACAAGAAGAAAATGATTCCCCCGAGACCTAGACATTGCTGAGATATCACGAATATAGCAAAACAAAAAGAAATTACATGTTTTAACTTGCAAAGTTATTAGGCCAAAAAACACCGGAAAATTTTCCAATTTAGATGTAATGTTTTCATTTTGCAGAAAATGTCATAGAGAATTTGCTGTGATCCGTTAGACTATCACCTGGTTGTGGAGTGATTACCCGCGCACACTGAAAACGCCGGCCTCTTTACTCGGCAACCTCTCGCACTTGTTATTTGCATCTTTTGACAGTGTTGCAAAAGGTAATATCTAACAGCTCGAATAAACTGCCTCCAAACGCTTACCTTCCAATTCCACTGTTAACACGGCACGGTAATTTTAGTTAGCCGGTCACAACTCACAACAGGAACGCAACGCAACCAAATACATCAGATGCGAGCGTAATATAAGCAAAGGAAAGATGAGTAAACGCTTGTTTAGGGCCTGTTTACACGTACGCTGAAAACGCCGGCCTCTTTACTCGGCAACCTCTTGCACTTGTTATTTGCATCTTCTGACAGCGTTGCAAAATGTAATATCTAACAGCTCGAATCAACTGCCTCCAAACGCTTACCTTCCAATTCCACTGTTAACACGGCACTGTAATTTAAGTTAGCCGGTCACAACTCACGACGGGAAAGCGACGGAACCAAATACCTCAGATGCGAGCGTAATATAAGCAAAGGAAAGATGAGTAAGCGCCTGTTTGGGGCCTGTTTACATGGAGGTGGGGGCCCCGTGGTCGAAAAATAAAAGCGTTTACATGCAATCTTACAACCCCGGGGTGCTGGGGTGAGGTTTCTTGAGGTTGTTGTTGCGCTTGCAACTAGGGAGTTTGAGCAGAGGCTTCCCAAGTTCACATCTCGAAAAAGACGAAAGATTAATTCTCGGACACTTATGTATTTGTTCATGAAAGCGTAACGCATTGCGTTACGCGGTGTTTAACTTCGCAAGGAACCGTTGACTTAGTACGTTATACGGAATAGTTTGGGAAGTTTCGAGGAAGTTTAGTGAAAAGAGATAAACAAATCATGAATAAAAAACAACAACAACAACAAAACAAAAAAAACAAAACAAAAAACAAAAAGAAACAACGAAATAAAAGCAGCGGCATCATCGATTCGCAAAATTTTCGGATGCGTGACATCCATATTCTAGTTTCCGGTTGCAATATTAGAACACATGACTGCCTTCGTTTTAATGTACCTGCTCCGGATGCCAACCACTTGACAAACCGAAATATTACGCTAAGCGGGTTATGTAACCCGAATTACGCACTGATATAGATCTCCCAATGACATTAGGCTCATCTTCGCTTTCATCGACTTTTGGAAAAGTCCATGAATCTCGTATCTTGCAGGTAACTCGTTGCGTAACCAAACGATCTGGTGTCCCAAATACAGCGAATAATGATCCGTAAAATCGCAAGCTAAATACTCGGAGGAAGAATTGTGTTCGACACAGTTAAAAGAGACCTTAGTAATTTCACCTTGTATTCGCTAAAGGTATTGCTTTTGACGTCTTTGGTGATGGTTGTAGGTATACCTAAGATCTAATCAACGTTCTAAGCAGACGCTGAAATTTCCGAACCTGTACTGGGCGTTGAAATAAAACTGCGCATTTTGCTTGCATTGCTTTCCGAATCAGCACGCATCAGCTATTTGGATTATATCACTGAATATTGAACTGGTAAGGAAAATTTAAGCCAGCAACTGACTAAGCAACCATCATGGCCAGATGTTGTTTCAACCCAGAAAAATGAAGTCTTCAAAAATGCAGACTTGATAATTTTACTTCAAATGGACAAAAGTCCTAAGTGAATGCCTACTAAATAACCGGAGAAGCAGAACTAGTTTATTGCTTAATTCATCTGCTGCAGCGTGAAGTTGCTTGTTATCGATGAATTTAACAACCAATGAACATTAATCGGCAAATTTTCCTAGCCGATAAGATTCAACTACCTACTGTATGCTAATAATCTAACTTACGTGAAGATGTTTTACCGGGTAGATCGCTCAGACTTTATGCGCCGTTTCTCGAATATGCGGGTTCATTTTCTGAACAGGGTTTTATCTTTACTACCATTACTATTAACAATATAATTATCTTTATTAGTAGTTGTAGTATTATTATTATTATTACAATTATATTTTTACTATTATGATGATGATGATGATGGTTATGATTGTTACTATTATTATTAACTCACACTTAGGCTGAGGTGAACTAAGAACAAAAATAACGTTGATCAATGTTGAATATTCTATTTATTCATAAAATTACTATTCAAAACTTAAATTCAAGTGCTTCCACGAGTGTAAAAAGAATGCTTAAAAGATACTAATTCAAAAGCTGTCATGACAAAGGTCATATTTCTAATTACATGATACTACCACGAGAAAGAAACCTAGCGCTTATTATTTGGAAGAACTGTTTGTCTTGACTGCTACATTTGCTAAGTAGGAGTTTCTCGGTAACATCAA